GTAAATGCAAGTTAGACACATTTAATGCAACACTGTGGAACATTCCAGACAAAGCTTTAACATTTCAATGTAGAGTTGAGACTCTGTACCAGGGGTCCCAAACCTTTTTCCTCCGGTGAGCTACTTTTACAAAACAGGTCAAGGTCAAGCCTTAGCTGAGCTACAGATCGATGTCTATAAAACATAAACCATTATCCATTTATTAGAGCACAGAGTTAAGCACCAGTGGTAATGGTCATGTAATTAATACATTTTGAGTTATTCAACATAACATGTATAATTCAGAAATCCCTTGGTGAGCTTCTTGGTAAAAGGTGCAGAGGTGCTGGTCGCTCCCGAGCTGCAGGTTGGAGACCTCTGTTCTATTCTTTTCATCAGCTGCTTGATGGACAGATTTTCTAGGTGCAGTGAGGGGCCAAAGAGGGTCTGGTGTGGGTCTCATCACTGCTGTTTGCAGATGATGATGTTTCCTGATGGCTTCATCACGAGTGATGGGGCGTGAAATTCACGGATGAATCTGCGTCTGCAGGGCTGCGGTTGCTGTATTGGACTGTTGTGGTGAAGAAGGCAAAGCTCTGGATCTGTGGTCATACTCTCACCTCTGCTCATGAGCTTTGGGTAATGACCAAAAGGACAAGATGGCAGATACACGCAGGTGAAATGACTTTCCTCCGCAGAGTTGCTGGGTGCTTCCTTAGAGATAAGATGAGGAGCTCGGAGTAGAGCCACTGCTCCTCCATGTGGAGAGGCGCAGCTGAGTGGAGGGCATCTCTTCTGAATGTCTCCCGGACGCTTTCCTGATGGGAGTTCCGGGTATGTCCCACTGGGATGAGGGGGAGGAGGACTGTGTCTCTCATCTGGCCTGGAAATGCCTCAGGCCCCCCAGAGGAGCTGGAGGAAGCGTCTGGGGTGAGAGAAGTCTGGGAGTCTTTGCTTAGACTGCTCCCTCTGCGACCCGGCCACAGATAAGCGGAAGAAAATGAAGAGATGACTTTAACATCTCCATAAAGACAAGCAGCTGGCAAACCCTCCACAGGAAAAGTTACCTAACACAGTATCGTCAATATTATTTATTATGACATTTTTTCTAATATTTTCTGTATTGTATCTTTTTTTTCTAAACATATAACATCCACAAAAACAAAAGAGCACCACTTTATGCATTATATTTATTATCTTCTGGTCCTGATCAGGCAGCTGTGTTTTCCTTTACAAAACTATTCCTGCCTCTCCCTCTGCAGGTGCAACACATGAATCCACAAACTCATATCTGGCCCAAAAATATGCTCTAAAACTTCACTTTTTCCACCTCTCCACTCCTCTGTGCACCTGTGTTATCTGTCTACACAACCACTGTCCTTCTGTCGACGCAAGTGTGGGAGAAAATCTGTGGGTTTTTGGTGTGTGGTCCAATCAAAAGCTCAAGGTTGCCTCTTTTTTTTTTTTTTTTTTTTCATTTTTTGTTTCTCAATTCTAAAAAGTGAGTTCATTCTGGGTTAGTACATTTAAATTTGTATCAATGAAAAGCAACACTGTCAATAGAAAACGCTCTCGTGTGTGGGTGTGTGAATACAGCGTCCTTGTCTAGTGGATTTAAGATTATTATGTCCATCCCTATCGCCGTGTGCTCATTTCTTTACAAAAATACAACATTTAAGGAGACTAAACAGCAAATGCTCCTTAGTAATGTATTTTTTATATTACTATTCAATTACGGTACAAGAAATATAGGACATAGGGACTTCAATTCAGAATCTCGTCATCTCGTTTGTAGCTTTGACAAGGCTGTTTTTTTCTAACAAATACGCAATTTCCTTTCAACAAAGCCATTCACTAGATGTATTTGTGCAATTTCCGTGTTTCACTGGCAGATAATGTAGTTTAAAGAAAGAAAAAAATATATGGATACTCAAAGGACCCATATTACGCTTTTTTCTGATCTGTTATAATGTTTTCCTCATCATAAACTGACCTGGAGTTTTGTTTTGTTTCATTCACACATGTTGACAGTGTTGGGAAGGTGACTTTTGAAATGTATTCCCCTACAGATTACAGATTACATACCCCAAAATGTAGTTTGTAACGTGATCCATTAAATTACTTAAAATGAGTAACATATGTATGAGAATACGTTGGATTACTTGATTTGCTGTAGAGAAGCAAAGACCAGGATATCGTCACATAAGAAGTTTTGTCTGCTAAAAGAAAATAAAAAAGTCCAGTTTTTACTTAACCAAATTAAAAATATTATTGATAGAAGACGAGGAGACATGTCCGCACAGCATGGTTTAGTCCTGTTAAATCCTGTTTTAGTCCTAGTTTTGGACCTGGTTTGGATCTGGTTTAGACCTAGTTTAGACATAGTTTAGTCCTGGTTTAAACCTGGTTTAGACCTGGTTTAAACCTGGTTTAGACCTGGTTTAAGCCTGGTTTAGACCTGGTTTAGACCTGGTTTAAGCCTGGTTTAGACCTGGTTTGGACCTGGTTTAGTGTTTGGCAATGAGTGGAATTACAGGGGGGAAGAAAAAATGTAAAAAAAAAAGGGATTCAGCCCGAAATGTGAAAACAGGAAAATACCGCTGTGTAATCCACTTATTTCAACAAAGTAACTGTAATCCAATTACATTCATTAAAACAGTAATTGTAACTGAATACAGTTGCTCATAATATTTACTCTGATTACGTAACGCCGGTACATGTAATCTGTTACTCCCCAACACTGCATGTTGAAGACAAAATCTGCATATTTAGGTGGTGTGCACATGATGTTTTTTGGTCAAAATGGTGAAGTTTTTATTCGTTTTGGCCTCTCGTCCACATGGAGACGGTGCTTTGGTGGGAGGAGACTTTTGATTTTTGAAAACAGGTCCCAGAGTGGAGAAATCTGAGAGCGCCGGCGTTGCGTTGTCGCGTGGACAAGCAAACCGCAGCTTTTGGAAAACGAACCCCGTCATCGCCACGTGACCAGAGGAGAATAACAACACCATAACAACAACCACGGCGGACAACGGAGTTCAGTTTGTGCTGCAGACGCTTCTCAGTTTGTTTTCACTGTTGCATCAAACCCTCTTAATCTATTTTAGGACTTTATGTGCATGTGTTCTTTGTAGTGTTGTGTGTCCATTGGTTCTGTCTGTATTACATCGTTTTCACTCAGTGCAACGTTGACGTGTGGACGTGAATATTTATTAATCCGACATGTGTGATTGCAAATTTTTTTCAACCCGCAAAAAATCCAGAAGCCTTAAGTAGCCTTAAGTTAAATGTAGTTAAATGTAGCTGTTCTACCGCTTCATGACATCACAAGGTGGAACAGAACATTGTGGAGATGTAGACAGACTCATAATAAAATATTACTCAAACATGTGAATGAAACAAAACATAACTCCAGGTCTGTTTTTGATGAGGTAACAACATTATAACATGAGTCACTTTTGTGTAATATGTAACTTTTAATAATCTTGCTTGTCTCTATGGAAATATTAATCCTTTGCTGAATGTTTCACAGTATGGCTTTAATTTTTGATGTAATGCATTGGTGCAGTGCGTGGGGGTTGCCTCTCCACAGATCTGGCCTGTAACTTGGCCTGGAAGCTCACCTGCTCTTCTCCATGGAGATAAATATGCTGTAATAATATAATAATTCCATACTTTGGAGAATTCTTGAAAATCCTATAACGTCTCCATGGAGGCGAGGCAGCTGTTTCTTTTCTATAAATAATCGGGTATATTTTGGTAAGCGTTGGAGATATGGAAGTATGTATGTGTGACGTAAATGACAAAACAACAGTTGAATAATATTAGTATCATTGACCCAGATAAAACATAAATATGTTTTGTCTGTTTGAATCCACCACCGCACTTTTCTGACTGTTTTTAGTGACATCAGCCCCAAGGCTGCACCCTGACACTTTTCTCACAACAACAACCTCAGGCTGCACTCACTAATACACAAGACCAAAACCAGGAATAAACAGGGACTAAACCAGGACTAAACTGAGACTAAATCAGAAATAAAACCAGGTCCACACCAGTATTAAACTGAGACTAAACCAGGACTAGACCAGGACTAAACCAGTAATAAACCAGGACTAAACCACGACTAAACTGAGACTAAATCAGAAATAAAACCAGGCCCTAACTGGGACTAAACCAGGACTAGACCAGGACTAAACTGAGACTGAACCGGGACTAAAGTGGAACTAAACCAATTCTAGAGCAGGACTAAAGTGGGACTAAGCCATGACTAAACCAGGACTAGACCAGGACTAAACTGAGACTAAACCAGGACTAAACCAGGTCCACACCAAGACTAAACTGGGACTAAACCAGGACTAAACCAGGACTAAACTTAGACTATACCAGGACTAAACCAGGTCTACACCAAGACTAAACTGAGATTGAACCAGCACTAGACCGGGACTAGACCAGGACTAAACCAGGCCTAGACAAGGACTAAACTGGGACTAAACCATGACTAAATCAGAACTAGACCAGGACTAGACCATAAAGGAGAATGTATAACTTAAGTGAGGAATAACGTTGGACCAATCCAAATCCTGTTTTAAATAAAAATGTGTCTTTAACTGGAGCCAAACCAAACCGGGACTAAACCAGGACTAGAAGACGACTAAGGCTAAGAACTTTACCAGGACAAAACTTGGATTAGAACTGGACCAAACCAGGACTATGAGAGAACTATTCCGGGACTAGACTTGGCCCAAACCGGGACTGTGAACGCAGCAACGTGACTTCCTGACGAGCCCCTAAATTCAAACATAAACAAAAACTGGATAACCCAAACGTCCCAGAGACCTCCTCCTTTTATCGTCCCACATAAAAGCCCTTCTTCACACGCCCCCTGCTCACTACTACAGGAAATACCTCCAGCCCTCCCAAATCTGGACTACACGCAAGCCTCACTCTGAAATATTTAGATGAGCAGACCTGTGTACATGTAAAATAAACAACACCACGCGCAGATCTGTACGGGAGTTATCATGTATTTTGTGAGAATGTTTGGGGTTTTTGTGATAGTCCCGCTGGTGCTGCAGATGGTCCAGGCTTGTGGATTTGAGATGTTCTTGGCGACGTTGGCGAGACACAAGTCGTACTGTCACCTCCAAGGACCCGACGTGACGATGATTCCTGCAAATATCTCCCTCAACACCACACACCTGTAAGTACTTTTAAATATATTTGATTAAAGGTGCACCATGTGACTTTTCTGGAAGGTCCATCATCTTTGCAAAAAATTAGAGCTACTCGATTATGGAAGAAATCATGATCAGGATTATTTTGGTCAATATTGAAATCATTATTATTCAAATGATTATTTTTTTAGTTACATGATGCATTTATTCAGCATTTCTCTCTCAAAAAAGCACTTTGTTATTGATAATTTACGCAAAACTTCCAAATTGAAAATAAATAAAAGCTACAAATATGAACCTTAGAGCAGTTTTGCGATGTATAAAATGAATAAAATATACAAATACATATAAATATATATAGAAAAACTTAAATGCATCTAAAACAAACTATATATCCAGCTGTTCTACAATAAAAATAATAATAATAAATTAAATAAATATACAAATTTATATAAAAAAATATACCAAAATAAACTTAATTATATGAGTTTGGAGATCAAAATCGTGATCAGAATGCAGTTAATTGCAGAGCCTTACCTGGAATGTTTCACAATATGGCTTTAAACGTATCTACAGTATTTCCATGGAAACCAGCTCAAGTTACAGGTCAGATCTGTGGAAAGCCAAACCCACTCACAGTAAGAAAGCAAATAAAACACTTCTTACTGAATAAATGAAAGTTAATATAAAGTTAGTATAACATTTCCACAGTGTACGCTTAATTTTTTTAATTTATTTTGACATTTATTGCGTATTTATTTATATTTCTACGCACATTTTTGTAATATTAAAACCTATCTTAAGGGGGCGTTATGTAAATTTTCAGGTGGAGGGTCTTAAATCTTTGTTTTTCTATAAAAAATCTCAAAATCGCATAAAACCTTAGCGGTCTCCATGGAAACAAGCAGGTGAACAGCGAGACAGAAATGCCTACAAAAAAAAAATGAATACGTTTAATGCCGTACTGTGAAAGATTCCAGGCAAAGCAATAACATTTTCATGAGACAAGCAGGAAAAGTGACAGAGTGCACCTTTAATTGTCAGTTTCGGAACGATCAGTCCAGACTTCAGTGGTTGAATTTGTCGATTTTTGCAGCTGTCAAAATCCAGTTATTTTGTCTAATTTTATTTTTAATATCTCTATAATTACTGTCTGCACGAAACAAAACAAAAAAAATACTTCTTTTCTGTCAGCAATTTCACCAGTTTTATCAAAAGAAGGAAAAATGCTCAGATGAAAGAAATCGAAGGTGCACCGTGTCACTTTTCTGGTGGCGGGACTTGTTTCGATTGAGATGTTATTGCTTTGCTCGAGATGTTACGCAATACGGCATTCAGCTTCTGTCTGTGTCCATGGAGAAAAGCTGCGAGTGTAAAAGCTGTTTTAAAATATGTCTATAAGTGAATAAATGTGAAAGAGATGTGTGTTTAATGCCACTGTGGAACTCTCCAAACAGAGCAACGACGTCACCATGGAAACCGTCAGGCGAGGGACTCCAACACAAATTTTACATTGTGCTCAAGTTACAATCCGTGTGTCATCTGTTCATTCATTTTTTTAAATAAAACCAAAAATAAGAAAACGATAAAACAGCTATTTTCTTCATTATTTGTCGCCAAAACTACGAAAATTAAAAAATGAATGATAATTTGTTTTTTTTCAGTTTTTAATTTCAGTGTCCGTTTCCCATTTCTGTGACTTAAACTGTGATGCTGGAATTTTGCGCCACATACGGACTGAACCAGGACTGATCACTCCCAGTCTGGTCCCGGTCTCAGTCCTGGTCTGGTCCTGGTCTCAGTTTCAGTCTCAATCCTGGTCCAGTCCCAGTCTCAATCCTGGTCTGATCCTGGTCTCAGTCTCAGTCTGGTCCCAGTCTGGTCCTAGTCTGGTCCTGGTCTCAGTCCCGGGCTCAGTCTTGGTCCTGGTCCCGGTCCCAGTCTCAGTCCTGGTCCTGGTCGCAGTTCCTGTCTGGTCCCGGTCTCATTACCGGTCTCAGTCCTGGTCTCAGTCCTGGTCTCAGTTCATGTCTGGTCCCAGTCTCAGTCCTGCTCTGGTCCTGGTTTGGTCCCAGTCTGGTCCTGGTCTGGTCCTGGTCTCAGTCCCGGGCTCAGTCTTGGTCCTGGTCCCAGTCTCAGTCCTGGTCCTGGTCGCAGTTCCTGTCTGGTCCCGGTCTCATTACCGGTCTCAGTCCTGGTCTCAGTCCTGGTCTCAGTCCTGGTCTCAGTCCTGGTCTCAGTCCTGGTCTCAGTTCATGTCTGGTCCCAGTCTCCGTCCCACTCTCAGTCCCGGTCTCAGTCCGATCAGTAAGTCTCTGCCCAGGGACCAGACCAGTCCCAGGACCGGTTTAGTCCTGGTTTAGCCCTGGTTTAGTCCTGGTTTAGCCCTGGTTTAGTCCTGGTTTAGTCCTGGTTTAGTCCTGGTTCAGTCTGGCATCACAGTTTAAGTTACGTAAACGGGAAACGGCCTTTATCCATTTTTTCCATTATTCATTTAAATACAAAACTGAAAACACTGACAAATAATGAAGAATTTTATTTTTTTTTTTTCACTTTCTTATTTTTGGTTTTATTTTGAAAAACGAATAAACGAATGATATGCAGATTGTATTACATTATTTTCTGTGTTCTCTGTTATAATGACCTGGAATTGCCAATTTCTACTGAACGAAAAGTAAAAGGCCGCTGTTAACTTGGAAACTACCACTTCATGACATCACAAGGTGGAACAGAGCATTGGAGCTTTGGAGATATCGACAGACAGTCATTGTGATTCAGGAATAAATTAATTCGACTTTAACATCACACTCACTTACTTCTGAATTAAGTTTAATTCCGAATAATCATTTTCATTAGGAATTAAGTGTTTACACGATCATTTTAAAGTGATTTACATTTTTATTCAGAATTAATGATTTTTACGCTGAATTTAAGCTGTTATGTTGTGGTTGGGTTGGTAGTGTTTGACTGTGAAATAACTGATAATGAGAAATGTATAATGTTTTTGAGATTTTGTCACTTGGATGTAATGGAACATTTGTGGTGTGTCCTGTTGTTATTGTTTTTATTGCAAGATGGACTTAAAGCTGCACTGTGAAACCTTTCTGGAGGAGAGTACGCCAGTGTTGTAATGGTGGAATAGTGTTTCCTGTTAAAAAAAAACAAACTCTACAATGTGTAAACAGTGTTGGGGAGTAACAGATTACATGTACCGGAGTTACGTAATCAGAGTACAAATTATGAGTAACTGTATTCGGTTACAGTTACTGTTTCAGTGAGTGGTAATTGGATTACAGTTACTTTGTTGAAATAAATGGATTACACGGCGGTATTTTCCTGTTTTCACATTTTGGGCTATATCCCCCTTTTTAAAAATTTTTTTTCATTAATTCCACTCATTGCCGAACAATAAACCAGGTCTAAACCAGGACTAAACCAAGTCTAAACCAGGACTAAACCAGGACTAAACCAGGTCTAAACCAGGACTAAACCAGGTCTAAACCAGGTCTAAACCAGGTCTAAACCAGGACTAAACCAGGGGACTAAACCAGGTCTAAACCAGGTCTAAACCAGGTCTAAACCAGGACTAAACCAGGACTAAACCAGGTCTAAACCAAATCTAAACCAGGTCGAAAAACGCATCTAAACCAGGACTAAAACAGGATTTAACTAAACCATGCCGCACGGACCATGTCTCGTCCTCTTCTATCAATAATATTTTAAATACAGTTAAGTAAAGTCTGGGCTTTTTATTGTCTTTATCAAACAAAACATTGTGTGAAGATTTCCTCATCTTTGCTTCTCTACAGCAAATCAAGTAATCCAAAGTATTCAGATTACGTAAGTAATTTAATGGATTCCGTTACAAACTACATTTTGGTGTGTGTAATCTGTAATCTGTAGGGGATTACATTTTAAAAGTCACCTTCCCAACACTGTGTGTGAATGAAACAAAACCCATCTCCAGATTTGTTTTTGATGAGGTAACAACATTATAACATGACTTAAAGCTCACAAGAGTCAATTTTGCGTAATATAGGACCTTTAAAGCCATAAAAATAAATATATAAAGTTGTTGCACCCAAATTCAAACAATTTGTTTTGATGCTTGTGAAATCACACTATCAAAATCTATAGAACGTGAGCCTAACTTTATGCGTTTGTACTCAGGTAGGGCATCTGATGTAAACACCTCTCCCCAATCACCGCACAATGTATTCATGCATAGTCTTCTCCACAAACTTACTTTTCCTTCAGGATTGACACGTCGAGTGGATACGGGCTGTTTTTGTGGCACTTCTTGCAGTAAACAGAAGCTAACCTGTTGTTTTTGCAGCAGAGACACTTTTAGAGGAATCTCAAGGCTGACAGTCGCAGAGAGACGAGGGAGGGGGCAAAAAAAACTCAAAAATGACAAGTTTGTCTCACAGAGCTCTGGCTTTGTTTAGAGCATAGTCAGACTAGTCTTTCACTAAAACATCTTCAACATTATCATAGTCCTGTTGCCCGTGTAAACGTATTTGTCTCATATATGTCTGTCTCCACGTTCACTACCAGTCAAATGTTTGGACACGTTATCTCGCTTTTTTTTTGTCTTTATTGTTGCTACTTTCTACACTTTGTATACACACAGAAGATATCAAATATATAAGATAAATGTAATTATATAACAAAGGAAAAATGCTGTTTCCTCATCACAAACATACCTGGAGTTAGAGCAGCTCGATTATTGAAAAAATCATTATCACGATTATTTTGGTCAATATTGAAATCAGGATTATTCAAACAATTATTTTTTTGTTACACGATACATTTATTCAGCATTTCTCTCTCAAAAAAACACTTTGTTATTGATAATTTATGCTAAACTTTCAAATTAAAAATAAATACAGGCTACAAATCTGTACCTTAGAGCAGTTTTGTGATGTATAAAACATAAAATTAATAAAATATACTTTGAATATAACATAATGCATAGAAAAACAGAAATGTATCCAAAATAAACTATATATCCAGCTGTTCTACAATCTCTATATTGCAAAAAAATAAATTAGATATACTTATTTATATAAAAAAAATAAAGATTTGTTAAGCATAAATTGTTTCAACTCAGTTATAGGAGTTTGGAGATCGTTTGACAGCCTGATTCTTCAGCCGGTTTCACTTCTTGGAAACCGTCTGACCTCGCAGCATTAGGATTTGTTCGCTCGATGGTAGACGGGTACTTTTTTATTTAACCAATCGCTACTATTTGGTCGTGACGTATGTAATGTGTCAAATCCCATTGGAAGAAGGGCAATAACGTCTTTCCCCTTGATAAAATTCACCAAATATTCTCTATGTTCCGGCTTTAAATCCTCGATCTCGAGAATCGTTTCCAATACTTTGCTGATTGGCTTGTGCCCGAACTCACACTTCCGGGGTTTTTGCGTCTGGTGTATTTCGATTCCTGACCTAGTCGCTGGAGAGAAATTAAATTGAGCGGAGGCACTAGGTGGCGTCAACCTGGCTAATCGTTTGACACACAAATCGAAATTGGGATCAAATTTCGATTAATTGCACAGCCTTACCTGGAGTTGTGTTTTATTTCATTCACACATGTTTAACACACAAACCCTGTGTATTTAGGCTGAGTTCTTCTCTCAAATAAAAAACACTCTGTTCCACCTTGTGATGTCATGTGGTAATAGAAGAAGTGCTCCAGTGTATTTTTAAACTCTTTTTAAAACCTTCACTAGAATCATTTGGATCATTTCAGCCTTGGAATTTCCACTAAAGTAAAAATAAAAGGTAGTTGTTAACTTAAAAACTACCACTACATGACATCACAATGTGGAACAGAGCATTATGAGTTTTGGACATATAGACAGACTAATAACTAAGAGTTACTCAAACATGTGTGAATAAAACAAAACACAACTCCAGATATGTTTTTCAAGGCTTAAATCTCAAAAAGAGTAATTTTGTGTAATACAGCTCTGTTAAGTTTAAAAATTTATATGAGGAAAACATAAAAAGTTGTACATGCATTTTAAATATCCAACGAGGATGAGAAGCAGGCAGAAAAACATCTGAAATTCCCAAGTGGTCGTGTTTGAGATGCAGCGATGTGTGTGTTCTGGTTTGGGGTACAGCAGGTCAAGGTTAAAGACAGTGTGGTATTTACAAGTGCGGCCGACACTGGAGCTCCAATAGAGTCAATAAATAAATAAACCTGAAAAGACTGAAATCTACACTTTACTGACCAGGTGTAACCCCAAAACAACGGGAGTATAGTGTACAAAATTCTATCTTAACTTTGATATTGACTTGCAATCTCAAACTGGTAAATCTTAGAGCTTAGAGTTGCAGTTGCTTTGTCTGGAATTTTCCACCGTATGGCATCCAGGGTTAGCCTGATTCATCAGCCGGGTTCACTTCGTAGAAACCGTCTGACCTCACAGCATTAGGATTCGTTCACTCAACTATAGGCGGGTACTTTTTTTTATTTAACCAATCTCTGCTATTTGGTCGTGACGTATGTAATGTGCCGATAACGGGGCTAACTGGTATATTAAGCTTTTCCCAAATCCTGTAGGAAGAAGGGCAATACTGTCTTTCCCCTTGATAAAATTCACCAAACATTCTGTTTGTTCCGATTTAAATTCTTGATCGAATCGTTGACAACACAGAATGTATGACTCTTCGCTGATTGGCTGGTGCCTGAACTCGCACTTCTGGGGTTTTTACGAACTAGTGTATTTTGATTCCTGATCTAGTCAATGGAAAGAAATGAAACTGAGCGGTGGCACTAGGTGGCGTCAGCCCGGCTAATTCAGGGTTCCCACTCCCACAAAATTTCAAAACTTTTCCATGACTTTTTCATGACTTAAAGTGAATTTTCCATGACTTTACTGCACCTGCATGTGTAGAATTGATCAGACTTTTAGGGATAAATATGAAATGTTAACCTTTTCCACTCACATTATGGTTTGGTATTAGAGTTTTTAACATTCAAAATACTGTCAGTGCATTTATTGTCGTCTCTTTTAAACAAAAGGCGCAGAAGTTCAGAAATAATCATAATAGTCTAATGAGAACTTAACAGAATGCTGTAGTTGTTTGAAAGAGATACTAAAATTCCATGACTTTTCATTGAATTTACTAAATTTGATGACTTTTCCAGGCCTGTAAAATGACATTTTCAATTTCCATGACTTTTCCAGGTTTTCCATGACCGTGGGAATCCTGGGCATTAATATATCTTGGGTTTATTTAATGTGTTTTCATTGCTCAAAATAACTTTAAAAACTTGATGGGGGTAGCCATGCACCAGCTTGTCTCCATGAAAATGTTATAGCTTTGCCTGGAAAGTTCCACAGTATTGCATTAAACGTTTCATGCTTATCTCCATGACTGCGCCACCAGGCCATGGTACAGGTCAGATCTGTGTCGAGGCAAGTCCACTCAATGTATAAATGTTAAATGTTTTTCGAGGTATTATAAGTAATAAAAACACACAAATATTTTATTTCAATGCTCTACTGTGGAACATTCTAGACAACATAATAATATCCCCATGTAGACAAGCAGGCGCAGCCATACCACCAGAAAAAAGTTCCGTAGTGCACCTTTAACTTGACCTGATTACGCACACTATTTATAGAACCTCGTCTCATTGCTATTCTGTTTAATGAGCTCATCCTTGAATTGTCAGATTCGCGAAAACCTGACAATATTTTTGTTTTGTGTTTTTTGCCACAGGGAAGTGAAGCAGACGCTGGTTGGAGTGATTCCCGGGGGCGTCCTCTCCAGCCTGAAGCAACTCCAAAAACTGTGAGTGACTGTTGACGTTTTGATTGAGAACACAGAGATCCAAGCAGGTCAAAACAGTCACTGATCGCACCAAAAAGTGAAGGTGATGAGGGGTAACCTTGCCGTGTTTCTTTGTTTTAGTTTTGCGTGTATTTTGATCTAACTTAGGACAACAAATGTATATGTCAACTATGAATGTTGTAGGATTGTCAAAAATACTCTCGAATACTGAAACTGGCATCAAAACAGATTTATTTGGGAAAGTATCAATACTAAGAAACATCACACAAGCAGGACAAAGGTGGACCTTGAGTTGTATTTTTATATTATCAGTGTTGTTTCAAAACTGCTGTGACATTTTAGTATTGTGAAAAGATCATTGTGTTGTTGTGTCTACGAGCAAAACACTTCATCCACCTTACCTCATCCAAAGGGTCATAGTTCAAATCCCGCTCTCGACCGTAAACATCATTGGTTGAGCGCTCAGATCCGCTGGCCCAGGCCCCAGGTTGACAGTGAGATTCCAGCTCCCACAGATGAATGCTGTTGTTGTGTCCTTGGGCAAGACACTTAACCCCCTTTGCCCCTCATGTCTGCGTGCACTGGTGTGTGAATGGGTGAGCCGTTCCTTGATGTAAAACGCTTTGAGTGCCTTGAAAGTGGAAAAGTGCTGTCTAAAAATATGACCATTTACCCATCCATCCATCCATTTTCTTCCGCTTATCTGGGGCCGGATCACGGGGACAGGAGTCAAAGCAGAGACTCCCAGACTTCCTTAAACCCGGACACTTCCTCAAGCTCCTCCGAGGCAACCCCAAGGCGTTCCCAGGCCAGCCCAGAGACATAGGCTACGTTCAGACCGCAGGGCTTAACGCTCAACTCCGATTTTTTTGTGAAATCCGATGTTTTTGCGAGGTCGTTCACATTTCCAATTAAATGTGACTTGTATGTGATCCTCTGTGTGAACGTTAAATGGCCTGAAAGTATCCCACATATGCACTGGAGGACACGATCACGTCAACCGCAGCGAGCATGATCTGTGTTTACGGAAGTTGTCCAAACATGGACACGAGCATTGAGCACCTGGAGATTTTAAAGTTCCTCTCGTACCGGAGCCAGAACATGAACAACTTACTTGTTTTATGGAGGAGATTGAGAAGGACGAGGTTTTTGGCCGTGGTGTTTTGTAGGGCAGTGGCAGCGACGTCCATTGAAAGGAACGTGTGGATGCAGAGACGTAGCCAAGAGTGGTGAGTGGTGATGTGCTTCGCTTCAGTGACACGGAGTTCATTAACAATTTTTGCCTACTTCATCTCAGAATAGTGACGTTTGTGGCTTGTTGAAAACGTGTAGGTCGAATGAATGCGCCGTTCACACTGAAGTCGCATGGTACGTTTTCAGGACCACATATCCAATTGGCCTGGGTCGTATTTGAAAAAATCGGATCTGTGTTGTTCAGACTGTCATTAAAAGATCGGATACAGGTCACATAGAAGCCAAAAAATCGGATTTGGGTCAGTCTGAATGCAGCCTTAGTTCCTCCAGCATTTCCTGGGTCTTCCCTGGAGCCTCCTTCTAGTGGGACATGCCCGCAACACCTCTTGTGGGAGGCGCCCAGGAAGCATCCAGAACAGATGCCCGAGTCACTTCAGCTGTTCCTCTCGATGTGGAGGAGCAGCGGCTCTACTCCGAGCTCCTCTCCCTATCTCTAGGGAGCGCCCAGCCACCCTGCGGAGGAAACTCATTTTGACCGATCTCGTCCATTTGGTCATTACCCAGAGCTCATGACCATAGGTGAGGGGAGGAACGTAGACTGACCGGTAAATCGAGAGGTTCGCCTTTCAGCTCAGCTCTTCCCTCTTCACCACAACGGTCAAATACAGCGACCGCATCACTGCCGACGCTGCACTGATCCGCCTGTCAATCTCACTCTCCATCCTCCCCTCACTCTTGAACAAGACCCTGAGATACTTGAACTCCTCCACTTGAGGGCTGGAGAGGGGTGGAGAGTCCCTTCCTCAAGTGGAGTAGTTTAAGTATCTGCCTACTGTGAAATATTCCCCAGCAAAGTAATGACATCTCCACGGAGACAAGCAGGTGGCGGACCCTCCATGAGAAAACTCACAAGACAACATTGCAATATAGACAAATAACCATTTAAGTTAACCACAGCTTTGTATTCTGTGTTATTTCAGCACCATACTACAAAATGAACAGCTGGAGTCCATTGAAGCCTATGCGTTCTCGAACCTCCCTCGCCTCTCCTCCGTGTGAGTATATTCTGTTTTGTTTAGCCTTTGATACAGAAAGACAAAAGCATCGGAAAACACCAGGGACCCTCAGCTGTTCCACCATACGCCAAATAAGAACGCATTTATGGTTCAAAGCTGCGTCTCTGAACTGTGTTTTGTTATATTTCCTGTTTTCTCGTAGATTTCTCTCTGGAAATGCAGCATTAAAGAAAATTGGAGCGTTTGCCTTCTTTAATCTCCCAGAGCTCACCGATATGTAAGTATAAAACAGACAATGGAGCCAAGATGGTGCACATGAGCGCGCTTTGGACCAGAGCCCATTGACTCCCACTTTAAATCTGTCACACAAAAACATTCAGATCATTTGTACACAGTATTCCTCAAAGTATGAAACTGGATTTATGTACAGTTTATCTTTTATCTAATTTATCCGTTTTATTCACATTTTCTACTAACTTTACACACAGTTCCTTACAGATCGCTCACAAATCATTAAAGTGAGAGTATGATTTTGTTTATACATTTGTTTAAATCAAATATCACTTTTACTGCCAGTGATCAAATGAGTCTTATTTGGGTTTGAAGATTCAATGGTGAAATCCAGCTGAATCCATGTATCATTCATTCATTTTTCAGTATAAAACCAAAAATAAGAAACTAATTTCTTCATTATTTGTCTCCAAAACCAAAATGAAAAAACAAATAACGATTTGTTTTTTCAGTTTTTGATTTTGTGTTAAATGAATAATGGAAAAAACTTATAATGGTCATTTCCCGTTTCCATGACTTAAACTGCGATGTCGGACTTTTGTGCTGCATATGGACTGAATCAGACTGAAAACAGGACTAAAAACAGGATTAAGTCAGGACTAAATCAGGACTAAACAATTTTCAGTCCTGGTCTGGTCCCAGTCTCAGTCCTGGTCTCAGTCCTGGTCTCAGTCCTGGTCTCTGTCCTGGTCTGGTCCCAGTCTCAGTCCTGGTCTCTGTCCTGGTCTGGTCCCAGTCTCAGTCCTGGTCTCAGTTCTGGTCTCAGTCCCGGTCTCAGGCCTGGTCCAGGTCCCAGACTCAGCCCTGATCTGGTCCCGGTCTAAGTCCTGGTCTGGTCTCAGTCCTGGTCTGGTTTTGGCCTGTTCCCAGACCTGGTTTAGTCTTGGTTCAGTCCTGGTTCAATCCGGCATCACAGTTTTAAATCACTGAAACGTTTTTTCCATTATTCATTTAAACACAAAATAGAAAACTGAAAAAAGAAATCGTTATCCGTTTTTTCATTTGGGTTTTGGAGAAAGAAATAATGAAGAAAATACTTGTTTTTTCATTTTCTTATTTTTGGTTTTATATTGAAAAATGAATGAACGAATGATACACAGATTCAGCTGGTTTAAAGCAGACCCATTATGCAAAATCTTTTCAGAGCTTTTAATCATGTTACAGTTGTTTCCCTTTCTCATTTACCCTGTGACGTTGTATTGAAGTTGTATTTTGAAGATGTATTCGTGCATGTTTGGGTAATTTTTAATCACTTATTTTCAAGACGCCATTTTAACCGCCACTGGCATATGACCAATGCTCTGTACTGACTTTGTTCTCCAATTTTATTTTCTTAATCAGTAGGGATATAACAATAACCGAAAATATTGTGTTATTGTATCGTCAAAAGTCTCACAGTAATATCGTGGGCTGGGCTCCTTTGTTTAAATACATTGTTTTATAGTAGTAACAGCTTATAAACATTGGGAACTACATATCCCATGATTCATTTCAGTGCAGACAACATGAAGAAATACGTTTTTTACTTGAATTCTTGGGATTATGATGGAAATAATTCACACCAAAATCTTTTCAAGGTATTTTGAAAGCAAAAAAGTGTCCTCTACAATTATATCAGTTATATCGTAGTGTGAGATGCATATCGTGATAATATCGTACCGAGAGATTTGGATATCGTTACATCCCTATTAATCGGTGATACATGAAGGATTCGGCACTATCACATTGTCATTTTGGTACTCACTAGTGCGATCTGCATGAGTCAGTTGTTGCGATGACATTTACGGTAACGTCAGCTCCCATTGGGTACTGCAGTTTTTTTGTTTTTTTAAGTTGTTTTAGATCAATATGTGTGAATTATAACATAAGATTATAACTATAGAACAACCTCAAGCACAATAAGTGATCTTTAAACTTTAAAATGCCTTTCTGTGAGCTGAATGGTCTCTACCTAAACCTCAACACCAGCAGCCGATCATGACTCGGTGCTAGTGCGGCCTCTGCAGCTAAGTGAGGAAATAGGCTCTATTCACGCTTAGAAATGTTTGGAAAGATGCGATTATAACTTCCTAGGCCCAGTTTTCTTCATCTCCATGTCTTTGTGATGTTCCATTGTGTTCGGCTAATCAACAATTACAACCATACCTCAGTTTTCATCATTTCCACACTGACGCACAACAAATTAGAAAAGACGAGTCCGGTAGGCAGCACGTGCGTAACATTTTTACATTTCACAACACACATGAACAAGTTTGAGAACAAAATTACATTTAAAATACAAATTTACATCTTGAAAACAAATTAACTTTTCATAAAACACATTTGCAACTATGTAAACAAATTTACAAAACACGAAACATTTGTACTAGCGTGAGACAAATTTACATGTGGCAAAAACACAAATACAAACCTCTGAAACACCTTTTTCACAACGGCTGGAAGTGTCGCGATGTAGAGTAAACGTCACTTTCAGTTAATGCTTTTCTATGGCAAAATATCTGTGGAAATGTCTTGCGTATTTTCCACCAGCTTCATAAATCTGCCCCATCACCAAATCTTCATCCAACAAGATTGACAAAGGATAAATGTTCTGTCCATGAAGAATTTATCCACAACTGTCAAGGTAAGAAAGACGAAAATGTAAAGGCGAACAACGACGACGCATTAGTGAACTACTCCTGAGCAAATTATTAGTTATATAGTTTATTATATAGTTATTTCCGATTTTTAGGACATTTCCTTTCCGTCAAGAATTTGTTTCGGGGGTTTGTATTTGTGTTTTGCCACATGTTAATTTGTCTTGCGCTTGTAGAAATGTTTTATGAAACTTGGAATTAGTTTTCAAGATGTAAATGTGTATTTTAAGTGTAATTTTATTTTCATACTTCTCAATGTGTGTTGTGAAATGTAAAAATGTTTTGCTTTTGCCGGCCACCGTAGCTGATGACGCTAAATTTAAGATGATTCCAAGCAGCACATATGTATGCAGTCTTTTTTATTTTACTGCAGATCACATTTACTTCAGTGGGTTTTATCACAGTCGGTTTTAATAGATCCATGTTAGACGAGCCAAGTGTTGATAGCTACACTGGAAGTTGTCAACGCATCTTTCCAAACATCTTCATGGTTTGTGATGTAAGTGTGAGTAGAGTTTATTCTGGAGGTTCTGAGCTTTCACATGAGGCCTGTCCATGTACTGGAATGAAAAAAACCTGTGTCCTCTATCTGCAGGTTAAAGCACTGACCACTAGAGGTGGACGATATCTCGATATATTTAAAATATCGAGATATTTTTTAAACTCGATATGAATTCTGACATATCGTATATATCGATATAATACAATTCAATTTTGATTAGTATGCGTAAAGCTGCATTAAACACATTATAATCTCAAACGGGCTGATGTGGCTCGTAGTTGTTATGCTTTATATGTTGTAAAGTTTAGTAATGTAACTTGTACAATAGTGTTTGGAAACGTTGGGTTTGATTTGAAGTGGATTGTGGGAAACCTCACAGCTACTTACTGCTGGATAGGAACATGGATCTGTTAAAATAAGGAACATCCTGAGCTTCCTCTGCTAAAGGAGTTCATGGTTCTGGTTATGGCAGGGGTGTTCAAACTTTTTTCATCAAGAGCCAAACATCTAAACACAGATGAAGCAGAGGGCAGATTGAAGGCCGTAGACTGATGCTCAGTACAGGGAATAATTGAAATATGTGCATGTTTAACATGTTAGAATGAGCCATCAGTCTTTATTCATGCTAATATCCTTAAAACCACACACTAAATATTAAATATGAGCTTTATCAAGGCAGATTTTCAAAAAACTTGCAGTAAAAAAATATTTTATAATTGATGCAAGGTAATTTGGGCCAATTCAGCTGGAAGTCTGAGGGCCAAGAAAAATTTGTCTGAGGGCCGCATTTAGCCCACGGGCCATAGTTTGGACATGCCTGGGTTATGGTATGGATAACAGAGTTAATGCAAAGATAAGCTTGTGTTGAGTTGTTTTATTTATAAATGAAAAGAAAGAAATATGTATTATTTCTTTAATTTTACAGTAAAATTATTATTGATGTAATTAGGTTTTTTTGTAATCTTAAATGTTCCTATATGAACTGCCTAGCTCTTATACTTTAATTAAAAAAAAGACCTTGTTGAATTTGGCATATTTGTTTTTGCAGTTTTCAGTTTTAGGGGGTTATATTTTCCTGTACAGATTGAGATATATATCGTATATCGAGATATCGCAAAATATATCGAGATATATATTTTGATCCATATCGCCAAGCACTACTGACCACCCATGTGCAGTTGTTCCAGTTGTAAAAGCTGTAAAAAAAAATAAATTAAATCAAGTCCAGGCCTCTGACTCTGGCACAGCTTTTATAATATGTCTGTTAAAAGTGATTTACATGAGTATTATCCAGGGTGATTATAGACCAGATGTCCTCCTTGAAACATGTCTTCAGGCCTGGCACTGTCTCTAGATTATCACTAAACACTCTCCAGCTAAAACACGTTTTATTTGCAACCTGTATCTTTAGTTAATCCCATCACCACCTGTACCTCCTCTCTTTCAGACACATAACTAAGGCCAAACACCTGCAGCAGATGGACCGCGGCGCCTTCAGGAACATCCCGAAACTGCGCTATCTGTGAGTATCTCAGAGAACAGACTGTGCGGAACCAGACAAGGAAAAGATGTTTCAATCCGATTGTACAAGTGAAGTCCAAATTGGGTCATGGGTGACAGGACTATTTCTGAGGCTCCCCCTGCATCATTTTTTAATTAGGATGGATTCCTCAAAAAGAAATGCCAAAACTGTCAAAAGTTGGCTCTCCCGTCCGCTCTGTGAGTTCCCAAAGAGAAAGTGGATTTAAGACTTGACTGGAAATAGACACAAGCATAGACAGAAGCATAAATAAAACATTGTGCTGGGTTAGTTCCAAGTGAATCACCCGGGATTTCTTTAATAATTTTTAGTTATTTGGCCCACACAGTTGTTCGTGATACTTTTAAATATGGTTTACTTGCTAATTTGGCACATATATTTTCATTGGTGTAGGGTTTTTAACTTTATTTCTACATTCTTCTTACACAATTTCTAAACACATGGTATTTAAAAATATTTGATTAAAATGTTAAAACAGGTTTGCAATTTTGTTTACCACTCTGAAAAACTGAACTGAATTTTATTTAAAGGTGCACAGTGTAACATTTCTAGCGAGAAGTCCACCACCTGCTTGTCTCTGTAAAAATCTTAATGCTTTGCTTGGATCGTTACACAGTATGACATTAAACTTATGTGTTTTTAAACCTATAAAACTTTTCATTTGGGCCGGTAGTTGTTGCTTTTCTCCAGAAGGTCAGATTAGTTTAATGCCATACTGTGGAAATCTGTGTATCATTTGTTCATTCGTTTTTTTCAAAATAAAACCAAAAATAAGAAAATGAAAAAACAACAATTTTTCTCCAAAACCAAAATGAAAAAACGGATAATGGATAAGGATTCAGGGACCAGTCCTGGTCTGGCCCGGGTCTCAGTCCTGGTCTCAGTCCCGGTCTGGGCCTGGTCTCAGTACCGGCCTCAGTCCTGGTCTTAGTTCCAGTCTTAGTTCTGATCTCAGTCCCGGTATCAGTCCCAGTCTGGGCTCAGTCTGGTCCTGGTCTCAGTCCCAGTCTCAGTTCAGTCCTGGTCTGGTCCTGGTCTCAGTCCTGATCTCAGACCTGGTCTGGTCCCACTCTGGTCCTGATCTCAGTCCCGGTCTCAGTCCCGGTCTGGTCCCGGTCTCAGTCCTGGTCTCAGTCCCAGTCTCAGTCCTGGTCTGGTCCCGGTTGCAGTCCCGGTCTCAGTCCTGGTCTCAATCCCAGTCTCAGTCCTGGTCTGGTCCCGGTTGCAGTCCTAGTCTCAGTCCTGGTCTCAGTCCAGTCCTGGTCTCAATCCCAGTCTCAGTCTTGGTCTGGTCCCAGTCTGGGACTGGTCTCAGTCCTAATCACCCAACAGTCTATGCGGGTGCACCTCCAGGCCCGTCCCGACCCTCGGTCCTGATGTAGTCCTCTTTTAGTCCTGGTTCAGTCCTGGTTCAGTCACATCGTAGTTTAAGTCACGGAAACGAAAAATGGCCATTATTTGTATTTTCCATTATTCATTTAAACACAAAATTGAAAACTGAAAAAAACAAATCATTATCTGTTTTTTCATTTTGGTTTTGGAAACAAATAATGAAGAAAATAGATGTTTTTTTTTTGTTTTGGTTTTCTTATTTTTGTTTTTATTTTGAAAAAACAAATGAAGAAATGACATACGGATTTGTGGAACATTCTATGCAAAGCAACAACATCTCCATGAAGACACGCAGCTTTGGAACCTCCACCACATTAATTATTCACCGCAATGGGTTTATAAGCGCTTACTTTCAGCCACCAGAGCAGAGTTTTGCCGTCACAGTAAAACTAACAACAAGTAGCATGCTAACTGTGCACTAAAATGCTTTGTAATTAGATGCAGACAGTCCACAGTGAACTCATTTTGACCTCAAGAGATGCTTATACAATATATCTGCACTGAGGTAAGACAAACTTCACTCAAACAGTAAAAAGTTCAGGTGGAGTCTGATAAGCTGCTCTCCGTGTCCTCGTATAACTCTATGGGAGCTGTCTGTATAAACCTGATACAGTTGCACATTTGGGAACACGTCGTGATGAAACTCTGGCTCGTTTTAGTGTCTCTGTTTCACTGAATGCTCCATTGTCTGATCTGGACTCTGTCAGACTGTGGGCTGATTCTGGACAAGCCTCTGATAATGTAACAAAGTGTTTCAATGCGAAGGACAGTTTCCACTAATCTACTGCTTCTACTGTGTGAATACTACTGTGCTGCTGCCGCTACTGCCTACTACTATTACAAATATTACAAATACTAGTACTATTACTACTACTATTATTATTACTACTACTACTACTACTACTACTACTACTACTACTACTACTACTACGTTTAGAAGGACAGTTTCCACTAATCTACTGCTTCTACTGTGTGAATACTACTGTGCTGCTGCCGCTACTGCCTATTACTATTACAAATATTACAAATACTAGTACTATTACTACTACTATTATTATTACTACTACTACTACTACTACTACTACTACTACTACTACTACTACTACTACTACTACTACGTTTAGAAGGACAGTTTCCACTAATCTACTGTTTCTAATACTACTATTGTGTGAATACTACTGTACTGCTGCTACTGCCTACTACATTACAAATATTACAAATACTACTACTACTATTACTACTACTACTATGTTTTGAAAGAATATTTCCACTAATCTACTGCTTATAATACTTCTACTGTGTGAATTCTACTGTGCTGCTGCCGCTACTGCCTACTACTATTACAAATATTACAAATACTACTACTATTACTACTACTATTATTATTACTACTACTACTACTACTACTACTACTACTACTACTACTACTACTACTACGTTTAGAAGGACAGTTTCCACTAATCTACTGTTTCTAATACTACTACTGTGTGAATACTACTGTACTGCTGCCGCTACTGCCTACTACTATTACAAATATTACAAATACTACTACTACTATTACTACTACTACTATGTTTTGAAAGAATATTTCCACTAATCTACTGCTTATAATACTTCTACTGTGTGAATTCTACTGTGCTGCTGCCGCTACTGCCTACTACTATTACAAATATTACAAATGCTACTACTATTACTACTACTATTATTACTACTACTACTACTACTACTACTACTACTACTACTACTACTACTACTACTATGTTTAGAAGGACAGTTTCCACTAATCTACTGTTTCTAATACTACTACTGTGTGAATACTACTGTACTGCTGCTACTGCCTACTACATTACAAATATTACAAATACTACTACTACTACTACTACTACTACTACTATGTTTTGAAAGAATATTTCCACTAATCTACTGCTTCTAATACTACTACTGTGTGAATACTACTGTACTGCTGCCGCTACTGCCTACTACTATTACAAATATTACAAATGCTACTACTATTACTACTACTATTACTACTACTACTACTACTACTACTACTACTACTACTACTACTACTACTGTTTAGAAGGACAGTTTCCACTAATTTACTGATTCTAATACTTCTACTGTGTGAATACTACTGTGCTGCTACTGTTACTGCCTACTACTATTACAAAGATTACAAATACTACTACTACTACTACTACTACTACTACTACTGCTACTACGTTTTGAAGGACAGTATCCACTAGTTTACTGCTTATAACACTTCTACTGTGCGAATACTACTGTGCTGCTGCCGCTACTGCCTACTACTATTACAAATATTACAAATATTACAAATACTACTACTATTACTACTTCTACTATTATTACGTTTTGAAGGAAAGTTTCCGCTAATGCACTGCTGCTAATACTTCTACTGTGTGAATACTACTGTACTGCTGTTACTGACTACTACTATTACTACTATTACTACTACTACATTTTGAAGGAAAGTTTCCACTAATTTACTGCTTATAATACTTCTATGTGAATTATTTTGTGCTGTTGCTGTTACTACTGCCTACTACTACTACAAATATTACAACTACTACTACTACTACTATTATGTTTTGAAGGAAAGTTTCCACTAATGTACTGCTTCTAATACTTCTACTACACAAATTCTTTTGTATTGCTGCTACCTCTACTTGCAATTACTACTACTACTACTACTACTACTACTACTGCTACTACTACTTCTACCACTAATTAATACTAATACTACTATGAAGGACAATTTCCACCAATCTACTGCTTATAATACTTCTTATAAATTCTTCTGTATTGCTGCTAATACTACTACTACTACTACTACTACTACTACTACTACTGCGTTTAGAAGGACAGTTTCCACTAATCTACTGTTTCTAATACTACTACTGTGTGAATTCTACTGTGCTGCTGCTACTGCCTACTACATTACAAATATTACAAATACTACTACTACTACTACTACTACTACTACTATGTTTTGAAAGAATATTTCCACTAATCTACTGATTCTAATACTACTACTGTGTGAATACTACTGTACTGCTGCCGCTACTGCCTACTACTATTACAAATATTACAAATGCTACTACTATTACTACTACTATTATTACTACTACTACTACTACTACTACTACTACTACTACTACTACTACTACTACTACTATGTTTAGAAGGACAGTTTCCACTAATCTACTGCTTCTACTGTGTGAATACTACTGTGCTGCTGCCGCTACTCCCTACTACTATTACAAATATTACAAATACTACTACTACTATTACTACTACTATTATTATTACTACTACTACTACTACTACTACTACTACTACTACTACGTTTAGAAGGACAGTTTCCACTAATCTACTGTTTCTAATACTACTGCTGTGTGAATACTACTGTACTGCTGCTACTGCCTACTACATTACAAATATTACAAATACTACTACTACTACTACTACTGCTACTACTTTTTGAAGGACAGTTTCCTCTATTTTACTGCTTATAATACTTCTACTGTGTGAATTCTACTGTGCTGCTGCCGCTACTGCCTACTACTATTACAAATATTACAAATACTACTACTATTACAACTACTATTACTACTACTACTACTACTACTACTACTACTACTACTACTACTACTACTACTACTACTACTACTACTACGTTTAGAGGGACAGTTTCCACTAATCTACTGTTTCTAATACTACTACTGTATGAATACTACTGTACTGCTGCTACTGCCTACTACATTACAAATATTACAAATACTACTACTATTACTACTACTATTATTACTACTACTACTACTACTACTACTACTACTACTACTACTACTACTACTACTACTACGTTTAGAAGGACAGTTTCCACTAATTTACTGCTTATAATACTTCTACTGTGTGAATACTACTGTGCTGCTGCTGCTACTGCCTACTACTATTACAAATATTACAAATATTACAAATACTACTACTATTACTACTTCTACTATTATTATGTTTTGAAGGAAAGTTTCCGCTAATGCACTGCTGCTAATACTTCTACTGTGTGAATACTACTGTACTGCTGTTACTGACTACTACTATTACTACTATTACTACTACTACTACATTTTGAAGGAAAGTTTCCACTAATTTACTGCTTATAATACTTCTATGTCAATTATTTTGTGCTGTTGCTGTTACTACTGCCTACTACTATTACAAATATTACAACTACTACTACTACTACTACTACTTATGTTTTGAAGGAAAGTTTCCACTAATTTACTGCTTCTAATACTTCTACTACACAAATTCTTTTGTATTGCTGCTACCTCTACTTGCAATTACTACTACTACTACTACTACTACTACTACTACTACTACTACTACTACTACTACTGCTACTACTACTTCTACTTCTACCACTAATTAATACTAATACTAATACTACTATGAAGGACAATTTCCACCAATCTACTGCTTATAATACTTCTTATAAATTCTTCTGTATTGCTGCTACTACTACTACTACTACTACTACTACTACTACTACTACTACTACTACTACTACTAACTACTACTAATACTAATACTACTATGAAGAACAATTTCCACCAATCTACTGCTTATATAATACTTACTACTTACATGACTACTTCTATATTGCTGCTGCTACTACTACTACTACTACTACAACTACTACTGCTGCTACTGCTACTGCTACAATTTCCACCAGTCAGCTGCTTATAATACTTACTACTTGCATGACTTCTTCTCTATTGCTGCTACTACTACTACTACTACTACTACTACTACTGGTACTACTACTACTGGTACTACAATCTACTCCTTCTACTACTTTATATGACCTCCACTGAATTGCTCTTCTACTAGTCCTACTGCTACAACTAGAACTAACTGTTACTCAAATTGTATACTAATACTCCAACTTTACTGTTAGTAATACTCTTACAATTACTACTACTATTGCTACTACTTCTACTACCACCACTACTACTACAACTATTACTACTACTACTACTAATAATAATAATGCGATCTGTGTTGCATTTTTGTATGAAAAGCGCTCTATAAAAAAAGTTTGATTGATTGATTGATACTAGTACTACCACCACTACTCTTACTACTACTATTACTACTACTACTACTACTAGCACCTGTTGAGCTGCTTTTGGACTGGGATGTGATGTTGTTTCATTTTCAAGGACAATTTCTACCAGTCTATTGCCACAAATACAACTAACACATCTTCTGTTACTTGTTATTACTACTGCTACTACTACTACTGCTGGAATTAGTAGTAGTAGTAGCAGTCGTAGTAGTAATGCAAATACTAGTATAACTTTTTGCTTTGTCACATCCATCTGCTCTACTGTCCTGTTACTACTTCACAGTCTTACTACTTGAAAGTGAAGAGCAAATCTTTACACATATACACTTTACACTTATTCGTGACCATTTTCTTTAAAAATGTTTGTTCTTCCACTTTAAAAAGAAACTTAGAAAACTCACTACACATTTTGCGTCATGAATTATTCAAATAAGTGAATGCTAAGTAACACTAATTGGTACTACAAAGGCACAACCACTACTATTATAATTACAGCTACTTCTCCTTTTTCTACTTCTTTACCTTCATAAAATATTCACTAAGGAAACAGAAATCACAAATATTTCCAATACTTTCTATAAATCTGCTGTGGATTCTTTGTTTTCGTCATGTTCTGTGGGCCGTTTTTGGAGGTAGATTTGATTCTAATTGTGTTTCATTTCACAGGCTCATCTCCAACACCGGTCTGAACGTGTTCCCAGATCTTGGACAGATCCACTCCACAGCGACTGACTTCATCTTGTACGTGTCCAAACTCCCATTTCAAAACAATTATTATTCAATGTTCTGTTAGTCTGTGGTATCTGTGACAGTGAATATGTATGTACTTATTAGAGAAAAGTGCTTTGCTATAGGACAAACCCAGGACTGTCTTTGCATGTGCATATGAGAGGATTCGTATTTTTCTAATTATGACTTTCTTTTGCCATATGTATACTGTATAAATGGACATAGCTAAACTGTAAGTCACATGGGTGTGATTCAGCTCCATAAACTCTGGTTTGAAATCAGTTTCTGTTGAAAAAACATTGCCCCTCTCTCTGTAAGTGCTGCCATGAGCCTCATCATTTCGGTCTTAAAATGTTCATATTAACTCGTTTGTTTGACAGCGTCGCTAAGGGTCTGTTTACACGAGAACGCTTGCGGGTAAAAACGACAAAATATTTTATCTGAAGTGCCTTTTGTTCAGACCAGGGATGTCTAAACTATGACCCATGGGCCAAATGCGGCCCTCAGACAAATTTTTCTTGGCCCTCAGTTTTCCAGGTAAATTGGCCCAAATTAACTTGCATCAATGAAAAATTTACTTTTTACTGCAAGTTTTTTGAAAATCTACCTTGATAAAGCCATTATTTAATATTTAGTGTGTGGTTTTGAGGATCTTAGCATGAATAAAAAACATGCACATATTTCAATTATTCACTGCAGTGTGCACCAGTCTACAGCCCTTGATCGGCCTCTGCTTTGTCTGTGTTTAGATATGTGAGCCCTTGATGAAAAAAGTTTGGACACCCCTGCTTTACACTGTAATGGCGTTTTTGGGGCTTAAAAACGCAAAAATCTAAAACCACCCTCCAGAGTGGAAAAGTTGAATACGCTCCCCCATTGTGTTTCTGTCTACACTGCCCAAGACGCAAAACTCTGGTCATATCTGTTCACGCCTCGCACGGATTTACGTCACATACATCACCACCTAGCGTCACCACCGACCCGCCTGGCATGCATACACAATTGAATTCCACACACTTTTGCGTCACCGTATGCACACAGATTTCCTCCTGAAAATGCTTGTCTAAATGCAGAAAAAAAAGTGAAGACACGACACCTGTTTTCATCTTCTGTTCAGACTGTCATCATATAAACGTAGCCTAAGCCTATGTTCAGCCCTTTATTTTTCCAAAATTAGACCCTTCTTATATTTCCTTTATCCTCAATTTGCATTAGAATTAATTCCCATTTCTCCCAATTTGGTCGTCAATTACAGCCAGTCTGTTATCCAGCAGCACTACAGATGTAAGGTAGAGGTCACGGTACAAAGGATCCTCGGTTGAAATTACTCTCAATCATCCCTTTAAATGTGACATAAAAATAAAAATGACTTGACTTAGAGTTTAATTCTGAGAAAAATCTTAGAAATAAGGGAACATAGGACTGAGGGAACATAGGGCTGACCCCGTGCCTGTCCCCTTTCAAAGCGGTGCAGGCGGGAAGGGGTATTACCTTCAACAATCTTGCTTTGGATTGGTTCTTTGGTGGCTATGATACCTATAGTTGAAATTCTAAATACGGATTTTGGCTCCAAATTCGTCACTATAACACACTCCCTCAGTCAAATCAAGCAACGTCAGTCAAGAGGCAATTTGTAGTTGAGTTTGTTTACAGGACAAAGTTGAATATTGCAAAATTTAGAGACAATTTATGCAAGGAACATAATTTTCTGACAAAGTGTTGACTCGGGGTGTGCAAAAATATCAAAATATCCATATATCGTATCGTTTACTGTGATGCTACAGTATGGATATCGGGGGCTGCTGTATGGATATATCTCCAAGAGTATTTTTTGGTATATTTTATGAAATCATTTTATTACAGTGTTACAGTTTTGTTGCTTTTTTTTAGTGAAAGGAAACTCATTTATGCGACACATTTGATATTTTCACTGTTTTGATGATTAAAATGTTTGTGTTTCATATGAACTTTGCACAAGAAGTGGTTTAACAAAGACTTTTAGTATCATAGCCATGATTTAGCCTTTGTTTTTTATTGAACCGGACCAAATTGTATCGAGGTACGTATTGTATCGGCAACTTCTTAATGATACCCAGCTCTAGTGTTGACATTTTTATTTGTCAGTAAATAACTATTGTGTAAATTAGATTAGCTTTGGGCCTTGTTCACAGTATGACTTGCTAGGTAACAGAGATGTCCAACTATGAAAAACTAGGCAAGATTCTTTACAAATTCTTCCATATAATTGTATTAACGTTGGTGAACAACCTTTGAATGGCCTTGGTTGGAACAGTAGCGCAATTTCAGCCATTTCTCTTGTGCCTGTCTCAGCGCTGTGCCCATGTAAACGCCTTGAAGTGGGCCCATATTACAGCTATAACACAAGGACACATTTTAAATAATGGTCTTATTATTTGCACGTGCCCCACCATCATTACCAGGAGTTAGAAAATTAATGTACAAAACCAAAAAAAAAAAAAGTCTTCACTGTGAGGTTAAATTATGACTCTAGAAAGTTATAAGAGCTGAAACGATCTTTTGCAGAATTTTAATGATAATGTGCTAATAAAACATGAACACAGCCTGGGTTTCTTTGACTTTCAAATCAAACCAGTGGGAAACCGGTGTTATATTTATTAATAAACAACATGTCTTATGCATTTTAAAGACTTGCAGAAAGTGTATGGAGTTTTACAGCGTGTGCTTCTGCAACTACTACTGCCATGGCCACTTAGTCTCTACCGGCCAAAGTCTAAGCACCATTTTTCACTGATAAATCATAATATTTCTTTCCTGTTTTGTTTCAGTGATTTCCATGACAACATCTACATCACAGAGGTCCCTCCCAACGCCTTCAGAGGCCTGTGCTCTCAAACCATCAGAGACATGTAAGAGACAGTTATTCAAACATGTTCTGACACTTTTATCTTATTTTATTTTAGTTTAAAAGGAATAAATGTTGGTTTCAGTCTCCACACTGGTATCGGTTGATAACGGGTAGCGTCAAATTCTTAAATTGAAATCAGAATCGGTATTGAAATCGGTATTGGAACTGAAGGATTGAAGCAAGAACCGTGTGTTGGCAACGATTCCCGAGATCAAGGATTTAAAGCCAGAACAAAGAGAATGTTTGGTGAATTTTATCAAGGGGAAAGACGTTATTGCCCTTCAGGACTGGAGCCAGAGGCGGCGCTACCATTAGGCAACAGTAGGGCCCCGAAACCTGGAGGGGCCCTTAACCAATTGCCCTCACTGCCACCAATGGCCGAGGGCTCAGAGCAATTTGACTTTCTCTCAGTATGACTTTAAATGAGAGTAGTTTTACTTTTAACCAAGAAAACACCATTAAAATAGTAGTAGTATAATAATAGTAGTATCGTACAGTATAGTACAGAGTCTCCAACCTGTAGCTCGGGAGCTACCAGTAGCTCTCCACCCACTTCCAACTAGCTCACCAAGGGATTTCTGAATTATATATATTCATATATATTGTACTGAATTTGATTAATTAGCATTGTAAATGTGCTTTTTTGAACTTTGTGTTGTAATAAATGGATAATTTTTTTTGGTTTTATAGGCGTCTAACTGTACAGCACTAAGGCTTGCCCTCTTATATCAACTCAATTTCCTGGGATCGCAAAAATGAGTAGCTCTCCACCATTTTCGTTTTGTAAAAGTAGCTCACTGGACCCAAAAGGTTGGAGATCCCTGGTACAGTATAATAGTATCTGATTGTCAAATCTATTTTAACTGTCAAAGCATCCCCCCTTTCACGTTAGAATGACCTCGTTAGCTTGACCTTGATTTGAACATAATCACAGCATAATCATAATCAACATCATATGTAATGGATGTAAACAAAAATGTAATTGTACTACAGAAAAATAAAACTACTTTCAGCTCTGGTTATCTAGTAGGCGACCAAACTAATAAGACAAGTTTCCAATCCACCGTAATTCAAATAGAGATGTGTGTGTGCTAATTCCCCCACTCATCGGTGCATCCCTAATTCATAATTACTAGGGATGTAAGAATAACCAAAATACCATGATCTCGTATCGTCAAAGTTCTCACAATAATATCGTGGACCATCACAATATATCAAATTACAAGTCTCTTTGCTTAAATTAAGAGTTATGGTGCAGCAATAGCTAAAAAAAAAAAAAACAGAGGAACTACATAGACCATGATCCTTTGCTCCATTTCAGTGCAGACTACAAGAAGAAATAACAGTTCTAACACTTTTAAGTCTTAGTTCTTTGGATTAAGTCTTGCCAAGGCATTTTAAGAGGAAAAAGCAGCATATTAACAGTTTTGTTAGACTCCACAAAATATCACAATAAATATCGTACCGTGAGGTTCATACCGTGACGATATTGTATCGTGAGACTTGGATATCGTTACACTCCTATTAATTACACAGTCATAATCATTACACAATTTATGAAAACAATGTAACTTTATGCTATTTTCAAAGTTTACTACGACTATCTTCTGAGAGTCCACACTTCACTGTGATTGGTCAAATCCACCTGTCACTCACTAAGAGCATGACAAGGGCTGACCAAAAGGAGAAGAGGGTGGATAAAAATACCTGTTTTTGAGCATAGAACTTAATTTTTTTTTTTTTTATTACTGTAATTTATTTCGGTCACAGGTATATTCTGACATTATTTCACAGAAAGTCATATTTAACACACAGACACTGAGCTTATTCTGCCTTTATTCCATTGTCAGAGCGTCATCTTGACATCAGTTCATCTTCATAAATACTGCAAAAAGAAACAAACAAATCAGTAACAGTACAACAAAGTCCTACAACACAAACTAAGTCTCATAATTCATGTATGTGCCCAAAGTTAAACATTTAAACTTCTTTATAAAACTGAAGCGAGTGGTGCACAATTTTAAGTTTTTACAGTATAGTTGTTCCAGAGATCCACCTTTTTAACAGACAGAACAAAATGTCATAATGTTTGTTCTGATTTTCTTTTTTATAAATAAGGCTGTACCTCTGAGCTCATATTTCAGATTTTGAACATATTCTGTAATGATTTTGACAAGACCTTGTTTACTTTGACCATGATTTTCAAAGTGTAAAGGTCGACAGAATCGTAAAATTTCAGAGTTTGAAGGTTTAGAATGTATTTATTATGAATTAGCTGATCCATAATTGATCTAGTACAGCACTTTGAGGCAGTGACGGCAGTTTGTAAACGTGAAGCAGACTTTGCAGTAATCCCTAAAATAGCGTATAGTTTAATTTTCAAAGCCCTTATGTCAGCCTGAATATCTAGAGCTAAAATTATCCTTTATTTTCTTTGTTCTTTTTTCTTCTTCTCTATCCACACGACTCTTAACTCTTGGCTCGTGCTTTGAACAGACGCCTGAGCAGAAACAGCATCGAGAGGGTGGAGAGAGACGCCTTCAACGGCACCAGGATGCGCAGATTGTGAGTCACATGCACAAAAAACTGGAAAAATGCAGAGAATAATACGTATTTATGTGTGTATATTTAAAGGTGCGCATGTAACTTTTTGGTTGAATTGAACAGCTCAGTCTCTTGTTGTTATTCTTCTTATTTTTACGTCTTATTTTGAATTTATTATTACCATTTATATTTTTGCTCTTTGTTATTATAATATATGGTGATGTGGGGAAGAAAGGTTTCCTACCATCCTGTGAAACTTTCCAGACAAAGCGATAACATCTCCACGGGGAAAAAAAAAGCATTTGGCAGACCCTCCACCAGAAAAGTTACACGATGCGGCTTTAAACTTGTGTGTCTGTGGTGTTTGCAGGTTTCTGGCGGACAACACGCGCCTTACTCACTTCAGCCCCGACGCGTTTTCAGGCTCCAGTGGTTTGCTTCTACTGTGAGTCTGAACAAGAAAACACAATACACAAACACTCATATGATCACGAAATGTAGGTCTGGATTATGGGTCTGGTTTGTGCAAGATTTGAATATTTGGAGCTTTTAAGCATGTTATAACACTCAAAATCCAGTGGTGGTGGTGAAGTATTAAATATTTGTACTTATAGAGGTGTGTGGAGGTGGTTCAGAGAGAGATAGAACTTTGTTGATCCAGAGGGAAATTCAAGTTTTGCTACAGTAACATTTCCCCTGCGTGTCTCAGTGTCCTTTGTGTCTCAGTCAAAGGTCTCAGTGCAGTTTAACTCTTAACACTCTAACCTTAAGGAGGACTGGTCAGGGAGGGTCAGCAGATCTGTTTCAGGGCAATTTGAGGAGAGGAAAACTATCTATCTATCAAAACTATCTGCTACTCTGTGTTTTGCAGCATCACAGAAGCCTCCAGGGGGCGCAAGATGAACACAACAGGAAAGGCCTCGATCTTACTTAGCTCTGGTGTATTAGTTGGTGATGAAATGGGTCATTGGTTCAATCAGGTTCATGTGGTCTTCTGATAATTTATGTTATTAGGTTCTTTTTTCAGACCAAGAGTTTGTTTTCATACCTGACAGTTTCGACTGCTCGCTAGTGCTCTTCCTCAGAGTGGTCATGTGATGTTGCTGTGACGTAGCCAGGCTGGTGCCACCTAGTGCCTCTGCTCAATTTCATTTCTCTCCAGCAACTTGGTCAGGAATTGGAATACACTAGATGGTTTGAAAGAACCTTGTGTTGGCAATGATTCTTGAGATCGAGGATTTAAAGCTGGAACAAAGAGAATGTTTGGTGAATTTTATCAAGGGGAAAAATGTCCTTCTTCCTACGGGATTTGGGAAAAGCTTAATATACCAGTTAGCCCCGTTAGCGGCGCATTACATACATCTCGACCAAATAGCAGCGATTGGTTAAATGAAAAAGTACACGCCTACCGTCGAGCGAACGAATCCTAATGCTGTGAGGTCAAACAGTTTCCATGGAGTGAAATCAGCTGAAGAATCAGGCTAACTGTGATGTGTCTGGTCAGCTGACTTAAACAGGTTTTGGCGCAGTCATCCTGCCTCCACCAGTAGGAAGAGTCCAAGAGTCAAGTTACATAATGAGCTTTGTCATCACCCAAGTTAAACTGTTTTTGTAATATTTACTGTTAACTAAGTAAAACTTCTGTTGGGTTTTTGTTTTTCCTGTGAGGGGCGAGCTGAGGAACTTTTTATACCATATGTGGCAGCAGAAGACCTTCCAGAAGAAATTATGTTATTAGGTTATTTTTCAGACCAAGAGCTTGTTTTCATACCTGACAGTTTTGACTACTCACTAGTGGTCTTCCTCAGACTGGTCACGTGATGCTGCTGTGACATGTACAGTCAGCTGATTTAAACAGGTTTTTGGTGCTGTCTTCCTGCTGGTGAAGGCAGGACGACAGCTCCATCTGCAGTCCAACTTCCTCAGTACAGTAAAGCAGTAAAAAGTAAAAGCCCCCTCGTCCCAGTTTATCGCCCCATGGGCAACTCAAATCAGCCATCTCTGACCACTGTGAAAGATCGAACCACATTATGAACTGAGACGGAGCAAACATCATTGGGACAGAGGAAAACAGAGTGTCACTGGATTAAAGCTGCAATCGAAATACGGAAACGTGCCCACCGGACTATAAACCGGGACGAGGGGGCTTTTTCACTCTCACACACCTGGGATACTGTCCTGAGAAAGTCGGACTGCAGATGGCGCTGTCATCCTGCCTCCACCGGTAGGAAGACAGCGCCAAAACCTGTTTAAATCAGCTCACCGACACACCACATCAACATCACATGATTCTGAGGAAGAGCGCTAGTGAGCAGTAAAAAAAACTGTCAGGTATGAAAACAAACTCTTGGTCTGAAAAAAAATAAATAAATACATAACATAAGTGGGTCATTCCCTCTAAGTATTTCTTCTGGAAGGTTTTCTGCTGCCACATATGGTGTAAAAAGTTCCTCAGCTCGACCCTGACAGGAAAAACAAAAACTCAACAGAAGTTTTAGTTAGTTAACAGTGAATACAAAAACAGTTTAACTTGAGTGATGACACAGCTCATTATGTAACTTGACTGAGATGCGCTTTTGAGTGAAATCCACAGATAATTTCAGACTGTCTGGAGCTGATTCCTCTCTCTGATGGTTTGAAACGAAAACGCCAACTGTGCAAAAGGCAGCGGATCTTTTCGGGATTGTGCAGTTTTAGTTCACAGTGGACTACGTACTTTGTTGTGATCAAAGTTTGTATTTAATTGGAAATAGTGTGCGTAGGTACTTATATATAAAACGGTTTGAAGATGAGAGCGGATCGGCTGTGCTATTGGTGGTCCACCCCTGCTATGCTTTGTGCAACCGAAAAGTGTACGTGAGAATACAAGCGCGGTGCCAAAGGGTTTGTGAGAGCGACGAAGGCAGATATATTTAAATACATACACATACTTTTTTATTTCACAGTTTGAGAATCAGGTGCAGCAGACAATGTTTTAAAGAGCCAATATTACACTATTTTCTGGTCTGTTATAAAGTTGTTTCTTCATCGAAAACATACCTGGAGTTTTGTTTTGTTTCATTCACACATGTTGAGCACTCAAACTCTGCATATTTAGGCTGAGTTCTGAGCTCAGAAAACACTCTGTTCCACCTTGTGATGTCATGTGGTAATACAGAAGTGCTCCACTGTGTTTTTAAACTCCATACATCGTCAGAGGAATCATTTGGTTCATTTTCAGCCCTGGAATTTCCTATGTCTACTAAGCAAAAGGTAAAAGGAGCTGTAAACTTGAAAACTACCACTTGATGACATCACAACGTGGAAAAGAACATTTAAAGATGCAAAAAACCCAAGGCACTCATAGATTAAAATAAAATGCCTTTATTAATTTACGGCATGTCCCAACGCATTTCAGACTACGACTTTCCTCAGGGGACAAACAGAATTCTGAGTGACCGATGTGAGTTAAATACAGGAAACCCACCAGTAGGGCTGCTCCACCTGGAAGTACAATATGTACAAAAATATATAGAAAAAATACAACTCAGTTATAAAAACACAGAGTCCAAATCTTCATTGAGTTCAGGATATTTTGCTGTCTGTAATTATTTAAGTTTTTCAATACGGTTTCCTTTTCATATATACAATTATAATTTGTCAAATGTACGCTGATGATGCAGTCTTGTATGTTCATTCTAAAAACAAACAGCAAGCTGCACACGATCTGTCAAATGTTATGTCAGAGGAGCAAACTGGCTACAACATTCACAACTACATCTTAATATATCAAAGTCTGTTAGTATGTTTTTCTCAAAAAAAAACCTGGCATGGATACAGACCCACATGTATTTGTGCTTGGAACAAAACTGAAAATGGTCCATGAAGTGAAGTATCTGGGAGTCGCCCTGGACCCACAACTATCATTCAAACAACACATCAAAAGAACAGTGAATAAAATCAAACATCATTTATCAAATTTTCGTCATATAAGAAATAATCTAACGACCAACTCGGCATTTATGTATTTAAATTCAATGATTTTGCCACACCTAAATTATTGCATTACTACTTGGACTCTGACAAACAAAACTACTCTTAAATTAGCTGAAACTATATATAAAAAATCACTTAAAGTATTAGACAAAAAGCCCACAAATTATCACTGTTGCAGAATACTTGACAAATACAAATTCCTAAATTGGGACAACACAATCAAATATGCAGATTTAATTCTGGTATACAAAGTTTTTAATCATCTTGCTCCACCTCCTCTAAAGGAGTTTGTGAAAAGAAATTCAAATCGCACAAGAGCTCTAGAGGCGACGCTCTGTGCCGTTTAGGAAAAGTACCTTTGGACAAACTCTCTTTTGCTTATCGAGCAGCTCAAACATGGAACACAGTGCCTGCTCATGTACGAGAACTTTCAACACTGGCAGCATTTTCTAAAGCTTTAAAACAGTGGTTATTCAATGGTCAAATATGTCACCATGTTTAAAAAATTTATATTTTCTTTTATTTTGAGGGGTTGTTGGTTTAACTCTTGACTTAATTCTTAAACTTCTGACTTTGAACTTCAAATGAACAGTTTGAAACTAATTGTGTGTATAGTGAGTGTGCTGGTGTTGTGTACTTTTGTGTGATTGTTGCTGTACTTTTTCTCATCCTACAGATGATTTTACATCAACCTGCTGAGGGACTGAAGATGGAAATTAGCCACGTTGGCTATAATCTTTTCATATTTACATTTTTTATGTAAATATGTCTCTAAATCACAAATGTTGTTTTGTGTGTATTTGAGTGTATTCTTTTTGTGATTGATGGTCCAGAAATGACTTGGTCTGACATATACTGGTGCAGTGGGGACAACTTTTACACTTATAAGAACCCGTTGATCGAGGTCCAAGCTACATGTGTGTTTGAGTGCAGGTGGTTGGCAGCTGTGGACCAGTTTGTCATGGACAGTAGGGCAACTTTTAAAACTAACCAAGGAAAAGAGCATATTGAGCTTTGGAGATGTAAAGAAACACAACTCCAGGTTTGTTTTTGAGGAGGTAACAACATTATAACATGACTAAAAGCTCACAAGAGTCAAGTTTGCGTAATATAGGACCTTTAACGCGTTACTATCGTTCTTTCTTTTTCATTGTGTCACAGATGCAGACCTAGCGCCCTCTGCTGGTATTTATGTACAACTTTTATAATACCAGTACCAGTGTTGTTATTTTCTACATGTATAAATTATACTACAAGAAATATAGGGGCAAAGTTGTCTGAAGAAGTTAAAATAAACATTTAAATGAAGCAATGAACCAACATGCAAAAATGACCACCTGTCATAGTGTAATTTCATGCAGTTGTCAAATTATTCAGTGTTTACGGACACATTTTCACATTAGCATAGCTGTAGTGAAAATATGAATAACAAAATGCAGTATTTATCAAAACAGAAGTACATACCAGTTT